CAGGAGGGTCAAACTTGATTTCATTGAGGGCAGCGTCAGGGTTGTGTTTGACCTCGAGGGGGTGGGCATGACCAGGGGTGTGGCCAGCTTGACATAATTCATGCCAGGGAGCGTGTGTAGTGGCCCAAGCATTCTGGCAGTGAAAATGGACTCCTGAGCTCCATTTTTCGGCTGGGATGGCCTCCTGCAACCCTCTGCCAGCGGAAATGGGAGCTCGCGGGGGGGGACGGGGGACTGGGTGTTTTCACTGGCAGAGGCTCCAAGAGCCGGTCCTTCACTGTTTCCAGGGCAGCCCCAGGGGCCAGATCTAAGCACCTCACTGGCTGAATCTGGCGTGCAGGCCTTGAGTTTGACACTCCTGTCCTAGACACAATCCTTTCTACACATACACACTCCAATTAAAAAAAAAAAACAAAGGGAAAAAGCTCACCTTTGCACAATATGTTCGCATTCTCTGCCAGAGGCTGCACCTACCTGTGTTTGCTTCAGGCTGTGTTTGGGGGATAAGCTTCCTGTGCTGTTGAGGCTGTTGACGCTGCCGTGTGATGGAGTGGACCGCAAACTGTCTTTGGGGGGAGGACTGGCTGGAAGAACTGGCACTGCCCCAGGAAAGATTGGCACTTTCTTCCGCTTGGAAGGTGGAACGAGAGATGGGGGCAACAGAGAGGGGACGGGTTCCTTCTCAAGGGCACGGTAGACCAGGTGCATCGCCTGCAAGGCCCAGAGGGAAAAGACGTCTGCAGAGGGCAACAAGGAGGAGGAGGAGGAAGAGGAGGAGGAGGAGGAGGGGAAGATGGCGGAGAGGTAGTGCCAAGCATGAGAGAGCAGGTCAGGTAAGGGCTGGAGGGAGGGAGGCTGGACTAACAGAGGTGGATAGAACCCTGGGAAAAGGAAAACTAACCAAGGAGTTTGATACTGTGGATTCCTACTGTGATCGGCCTCTTCTATGCAAATGAGGGCTTGGGACATAACCCTGTCCCTGACCCGAAAAACCAGGCACTCAGGAATCCCCTTCGGTTACATGACAAGAGCAAGCAGAGGGAACTTACCACGGCAAATTCATCTCTGTCAAGGTGCCCATCTTTATCAATATCACTGAGGTCCCACACCTAGAACCATTTGGGCACAAATGAAAGGGGAAAAGGGATGTATCAGAAGAGTAGTTAAAGGAATGTTCTTTTTTTTTTAAAAAAAGAATTTCATTATGGTTTCTTCTTCTTCCTAGCGTACTTCCACAGGTGCAGGGTCCGCTTTTCATTATGGTTTCTTCTTCTTCCTAGCGTACTTCCACAGGTGCAGGGTCCGCTTTTCATTATGGTTTGTTGTGGAT